AGTTTCAGCTTTTCAGCAGCACAGAAATAGGAACAACCAAACTCTCTTGGGTTTTTTTTGGTTGCTTTTTGTTTGTTAGTTTCAGTACACAGGGAAATTTTCACTGTGATACAGAAGTCGTTTAACACAAAAATGCTGTAACAAAACCAAACACCTGGCTCCAGCTCTGAGAGCTGCCTGCTCTCCTGCCTGCACTCTCCAGCCCTGACCACTCAGTCTCTGACACCTACAGCCCTGCAGACGTGCCAAGAGAGGTGCTTGTCAAGGCTTGCAGGGCTAATAAAAGCCACCAAAATGTCTAAGCTCTGAATTTGTGCCCACTGCATGCCTATGCCCCCGGAGCCAAGAAATGGAGGATTTGGCTTCCCAGTAGATTGTGTTTCACACACAAATGGGTTTGTCCCCTCCCCAGGCCAACCTGTGGATGGTGACAGAGTCAATGTGCACTTGCTGGCTCCAAAGGTAATGCACCCAAGTGGTTCATCACCAGGCCTGCTCTGGGGTTTCATCCACTGGCACAGAGACAGGGCTGTGCTGGGAGCCATGGGGTCTGGCTGGTGTGCTCCACTGCTACCTTCCCATCCTCTTTTTGTCCTCCTGAGCCCCACTTCTACTTGGTACAGCTTTGGAATCGCTTAGAAGCATTGAGCACAGCCTTGGGATTCTCCTGTACCCAGCAGCATATCTGCACGGAGGACCAAATCCATTAGGATTAGCTAGCTGCTTCTTGGTTTGCTCCAGCAAGGTGGGCACTCCAGGTGATTGCCATGTCCCTCCAGAGAGCAGCCTGCCATCCCACCTTAATTTTAACTTCACTGAAGTTCAGCCATGATACCTACCTTGACCACCGAGAGCCACGGGAGAGGCGGCCCAGGGATGCTCTCCCTCCTCCCGCACCACCCGGGATGCAGCGGCGGGGGACTGGGTCTCCACCGGGAGGAGGAGGAAGCATGGGACTGAGGAGGAGGAATGCTGGGGAGATGTGTGTGAGCTCGTGCTGATGGGGATTCACGGGATATTAAGACTTCTCGGATTTGCCAGCGTGCCCAGCCCGAGGCGCTGGGGGCTTGTCAGCAGCGGGGTGGAGGCAGGGAGAGAGAGGTGGAAAGGGGGGAAGGTTCCTACTCGTTTTAGGGGTTTTCTGCAAAACTAAAATAATCAACACTTTTCCCAAAAGTGTTTTACAGCAGAAAACAGAACCAAAACTGCTGTAATGTTTTTGTTTTCAGTGAAATACCTCATTTCCTGAATGCATGTCTGGCTCTGTCACTGCTGCTGCTAAGAGAAGCAGGCTGGTTAAAACAGTTTCAGCTTTTCAGCAGCACAGAAATAGGAACAACCAAACTCTCTTGGGTTTTTTTTGGTTGCTTTTTGTTTGTTAGTTTCAGTACACAGGGAAATTTTCACTGTGATACAGAAGTCGTTTAACACAAAAATGCTGTAACAAAACCGAACACCTGGCTCCAGCTCTGAGAGCTGCCTGCTCTCCTGCCTGCACTCTCCAGCCCTGACCACTCAGTCTCTGACACCTACAGCCCTGCAGACGTGCCAAGAGAGGTGCTTGTCAAGGCTTGCAGGGCTAATAAAAGCCACCAAAATGTCTAAGCTCTGAATTTGTGCCCACTGCATGCCTATGCCCCCGGAGCCAAGAAATGGAGGATTTGGCTTCCCAGTAGATTGTGTTTCACACACAAATGGGTTTGTCCCCTCCCCAGGCCAACCTGTGGATGGTGACAGAGTCAATGTGCACTTGCTGGCTCCAAAGGTAATGCACCCAAGTGGTTCATCACCAGGCCTGCTCTGGGGTTTCATCCACTGGCACAGAGACAGGGCTGTGCTGGGAGCCATGGGGTCTGGCTGGTGTGCTCCACTGCTACCTTCCCATCCTCTTTTTGTCCTCCTGAGCCCCACTTCTACTTGGTACAGCTTTGGAATCGCTTAGAAGCATTGAGCACAGCCTTGGGATTCTCCTGTACCCAGCAGCATATCTGCACGGAGGACCAAATCCATTAGGATTAGCTAGCTGCTTCTTGGTTTGCTCCAGCAAGGTGGGCACTCCAGGTGATTGCCATGTCCCTCCAGAGAGCAGCCTGCCATCCCACCTTAATTTTAACTTCACTGAAGTTCAGCCATGATACCTACCTTGACCACCATCAGAAACAGTAACTGTTTCACTTATCCCATTGCAGAGGGAGGAAAACACAAGCCTCAGAGTATTGACTGTACTGGGAGAGAAACAGATTGTTTGGACAAACCAAGAGCCAATCAAATTTACCAAAAAAAAATAATGTTGAAAGGATATTGTATGTTGTGTTCCTAGAGGAAACTCTAAGGGCAGACAAAGACCCAGTACATTTGAGAGAGCAGAAAAGAAACTACTTTCCAGACGTGCAAAGAAAATGAGAGGGAGTTTGGTTGTGGCTGGCACAAGGCAAGACACTATTCATTTCTCCATGAGACTGGTCATGTGGCCAGAGCCACAGGCCACCCTAGTAGGGACTGCTGGGTCAGGTGTCCTCAAGCACACTATGCCAAAACGTGGAAGATCCCCTCCATCCCCAGCCAACCATCCCAGCTGTCTGTCACGGGTCACCCCAGGGGCACACCAGAGCCAGTGTGTGTCCATTGGGGAACAACTTATCCCCAGGTTTAGCTCCAGCTTAATGCTAAAACGCTCCTCATGCAGCCAAAACCCCAGAACAGCAATATTTTTGTCTCGTGGGGTCATTTACCCCCTCTTGCTCACTTCCCTGCCGTTGCAAGGACTGGGAGGGCACTGCAAGGAGGAGGGTTCACCTCTTTCTGCAGCCACCACTGCATCGGTGGGTTTGTGCATATCATGACACAGCAGCCTCACTTGCTTCAAGCAGAACCCCCCAGGCTGAGTTTGAAGCACCCTTGGAGGCAGCAGGAAATGAGGACAGGGCTTTGTGCTGCTGAAGCTGGGAAGCACTCACAGAGCCCCTGCCCCGAGGGGGCTTCTGAAGCTGCGGCAGCTGCTCGCTGCCTGTGTCAGGGCTTTCAGGTGCTGTCACAGCCTTTGGTTTCCAACCAGAGCTGTGGCATCAAGATGGCTCTGGGCATCAACATGCCATGTATAACTCGAACCGCATGGAAACGCTTCAGCTGCATTTCAGCTTTCACTATGAATAAGGCCACCACCTCCCACTCAGCATCTTCCAGGCATAAGCACATACATATCATCCTCCTGTGTGCCTGGGGGTGCTTCCAGCCCCTTCCACCTGGCTTGAAGGAAGCCCCTGAGTGGCTATGCACACATGAGCCCCCCAGATCCCTTTGCCCCAGGATACCTGCCCACCACCAACCCTCCAGCTCCCTCCGTATCTCTGGGCAGCCACAAAGTCACCTGATAATGAAGGTGACCATGGGGTTGGGTTTGATGTGAGAGGGCCACCTAGCCAGAGTAGAAAGCATTAAATCCTTTTCAGACAAAAGTCCTGGCTGGAGAAAGAGGAGATGGTTGGTCAACATATTTCTGTGTATAAAAGGATCCCCTGTTTCAGGAAGCTGAGTTAGCTTTGTGGAATATCACCTGGCTCTCTTTTCTGTGCAGAACTGGAAATTAAAGCAAATACCTCAAATCTGTGTGTGGGTCGGCTTATTGCACAGGGGGTGACAGACTCCACTATTTGGGACAACACCAGGAGGTCTGAGAGCAGGTGCTGAGACAACTGGGACCAAGCTGGGGTCTGCTTTTCTTCCGAGACCACCTCCAAAGCCTGTCTCCACCATTCTTCTGGCTGCTTAGGGAGAACTGAGAGAGAAATCAGAGAGAAAATACCCTGATATCCAGCCACCAACCTGCTAGATGAAGCATGCAGCAAACAGGCCAAGGATACATGAGGGCAATGTGTGTTGTACATTTTTTGTAGTGGCAGGACTCCTGTCCTGCTGCAGCAGTGACAGCACCATTGCCAGGGAGTATGGGTGATGAGAAGATTAAGTCTCATTGATGCTAACTGCCTTAATTGGCAGCACCAGAGCATCTTCACATGGGCTACATCACACAATTTTGGGAATTGTCTGTGCTGCTGCAGCCATATACAAGGGCCCACTGAGTAAAATCAGGAGCTTTCCCTCTCAGCATCCTGCCCTTCTGCCTGTGCTGAGGGCCAGGGCACTGACACACCTGCTTCAGCTCTCCTGCACTGCTTGGAAGCTGAGATGGACTCGTTATTCTCACTTTACAAGCTGGAGATGGGGTGGAGAGAGGCAGTGATACGTAAAATACACCCCAGCCTCCAAAACCAACAGTGTCTTATCCCTCTCCCCTCTCTCCTTGCCAAGCTGTAGCTCCAGACAAGAGCTGCAGGCACATTGCCAGCCCGAGCCCCCACCTCCTTATGCCATTGTCTACCATGAGAAACAGCTTTTAAATGCTCCCCTTTGACATTAAATCTGCTATAGACCCCTTGGCCCATGGGAAAATAGCCAACAAGGCTGCTGGACAAGGAATCCTGTTCTCCTCTCTGGTTCCTCATGGAGCAGAGCTTGCTCTGCAGGCTCTGCATCCCCCACAGAACATCCCAGCTGCATTTCATAGAGGAAGAAAAGCAAACTCAGTCTGCCTGGCACAGTTCACTGTGCCAGCTGTCATGCAAGGGCTTTGTATCCCAGGAGGAAATTGGCTGTGCCAAAACCTGGACTTTCAGGCAGGTCCCATCAGCACTACCCCTGCCCCTCTCTGTGTGTCCCTCAGGTGGGTTGTGAACCCGAGGGACCTTTGCTCATAAGGGACTATGGGGGAGGTGTCTGCTCAGAGAAAGGCCACAGGGAAGGTGGGGCACATGGAAAAGGGAGAGGTGCAAAACTCCGTGTTCCCATGGGAAGGTGGGGGTCAGCCCTACAGAGGGAAGTCTGCCAAAGGATGGACAAGAAACCTGCTGAGGACAAAGAAGAAGAACAGTGAGCTTGGTGGTAGCTCATCTGGACCCAGTGAACCTCAACAGACACCAGTGTTGTGAGAAGCCTGCAGCGACATGGGACAGCGAGTATGTCCCTGACCAGACAATGAAGCCACCCAGGTCTTTCTGCAGGGCCAGATGGAAGGCAACAGGGAGTAGCAGGATGCAGAAAGAGAGCAAACACCTTTTAGGTGGGTGCCAGAGCTTTTAACGTATTTCTACACCATCAGCAGAGTAAAAAGAGCATTGTCCCAATTGCTCTCTGTGTCCCCCCAACCTGCGAGCTGGCTCTTGTTATTAATTGCATCTGGCTGCCTCTTATCTCTAGGACACATCTGCCCTGGATTCGTCCTCCCTTCCCCCCACCCAACTCAACAACAACCAGAAATATCCCATAATCTCTTCTGCTTCACCTGCAATTTGTCTCATGCTGGCAATGAGCAGAACCGTCTGCCTTTGTCAAGATCAAAAAGCCACAGCAGCCATGTGATGTCAGCTTACATCAAACCTCCCCTTCCTCCCCTCCATCTCCCCTCTCCAGCTCTCTGCAGAGGGGGAGACATGCCTTCATTCTCCTGTGACCCTTCTCCCCCACTGGCACGTCTCCTGCCATTCAGAGATGCCCTGGCCAAAGAGGCAGGCAGAGCCAGCCCCAGCACTCCACACTGAGCCGGAGCCAAACTCAGGGATGAAGTAAGGAGCAGGAGATGCAGGAAGGTGGGCCACAGGCCACCAAGGGACATTGGACCTTCAAGGGCTTTACGTCACTGCACATCATCATCTCATTCTGACCTTGGAGTGAGAAAAGCTCAGCCAATCTCCATAACTGCAGTTCTTCTGCCTGTATCTCGGGCAGGGGAGGGGGAAAAGGTGCCCAGAAAGGGGTGGGACAGAGGCTGGGGCTGCTGGAGCTGCTGCAAAACCTTGCACAGAACAATTCGGTGTGCAAAGTCAGGCACTGCAGCTGTTCATTGTTAGAGAAATCCCCTTCCCTGTTCTATCAAACAGTCTTTATAGTATGAAAACGTACTAAATTTCTTAACATTTATTTGTTCACATTATATTTGGCAATGTAGGTAATAGTGGAATTTTACTGGGCACTTCGGTGTTGCTCAGCGTTGAGGAACTAACTATCAGTTCATCACAAGGGTCAGGACAGTCTGACCCTGGAAACAAGGGCTTCTTGGGAGCTTAGGGCTGTCTGTGATACTCCCGTACAGCCAAGGCTAGGCCAGCATCCTGCCCCTTTCACACCCCTTAGGAGCCCTAGTGCGGAGAATAGACGTGGGAAAAGAAAAAGGGCCTCCTCAATCTGTAAGGGAGTAGACAAAACAACATGAGAGCAGCTAAGGGCCAGGGCTTGCTGTGAGCAGCACTGTGAATGTTGACAAAAACTAGAACACTGTTTATCATGTGCTCGGTGTGTGACTGGCTACATCCTGGGAATCCAAGGTCTGTGTATGTGCCAAGGAGCAGGTGTGAGTGTTCTTTACCCCTGCTGCTTTTCTCAGTTTCCACTTTAAAAGTATATAAGGGAGCATTTTCTAATAATAAACGATTCCATGGCTTCTCACCCTGGAGTCTGTGTCTCAACCACCACACCCCAGAGCCTGCTCCAGTGCCACCGACAAGTGCCCCTGGCATGACTGACCTCTGGGATGCCTGGATGCTGCAGGAATCATGGAATACAAGGTTGAAAGGGACCTCAAGGATCAGCTGGTCCAACCTTTCTCAGAGACAGCATGATCTAGACAAGATGGCCCAGCACTCTCTCCAGCTGAATCTGAAAAATGTCTGAAGTTGGGGAATCCACCACTCCCCTGGGGGGATTATTCCAATGGCTGACTGTCCTCATTGTGAAAATTCTTCCTCTTGTGTCCAATCAGAATCTACCTAGGAGTAACTTGAACCTATTACCCCTTGTCTCTTCCATGTGAGTCCTTGTGAAAAAGGAGTCTCCATCTTCTTGGTAACTGCATGTCAAGTTCTGGAACACGGTGATGAGGTCTCCCCTAAGCCTTCTTTTCACCAGGCTGAAGAAACCCACTTCTCTCAGCCTTTCCTTCTACAGCAGGCTGCCCAGTCCTTGGATTATCTTTGTGGCTGTTCTCTGGAACCTCTCCAGCCTGTTACCATCTGGTTTGTGTAGCGGGGGACCAGAACTGAACACAGTATTCCAAGTGTGGCCTGACAAGTGCTGAGTACAGCGAGATGATGGCTTCTTTATCTCTGCTGGTGATGCCCTTGATGCAACCCAGCAGCCTGTTGGCTTTCCTTGCTGCTAGCTCACTGCTCACTCACCCTGAGCTTGCTGCCCACCAGGACCCCAGCTCCCTTTCCACAGGGCTGCTCTCCAGCCGGGCAGGTCCCAGCCTGCCCTGCCCTCCTGGGTTACGTTTCGCCAGGCCCAAGACCTTACGCTTGTCTCTGCTGACCCTCTTCAGTCTCTCGTTAGCCCACTTTTCCATGCCTTCCCGCAGGCTGCCTCTCCCTTCCCAAGCGCCCGCCTCCCCACCCGCTTCGGCACCACGCACGAATTTCCCCAGGACACAGACACTCCATCCCGGCATCCGGATCCCTTAGGAAGACACCAAACCCCCTCGGGCCCAACACCGATCCCTGGTGGGGGGGGGATGCTGACAGGTTACCTTGGTTGCCACT